GCTACATTTCACTTAATAATATTTTGTTAAATTTTTCATCTATGCTGATGAGAAGTATAGATCCAGAGTTTTTTTTTTTTTTTAATTGTCTTTGTCAGGTTTTAGATGAGAGTAATCCTTTTCTCATGCAATGGAGTAAAATGTGTTTCCTCCTACTTTTTTTAAAAAATAATTTATAAAAACTTTATTTTTCTTTTTTTATTAGAATTCACTAAGAAAACTATATGACCCTGGAATTGTTGTTGTTGTTGTTTGTCGTGGTTTTTTTTGGAGGAGGGAGTGTTTAATTACTAATTCAGTTTCTTTAATTTGATATAGAACTCTTGAGATTTCTTATTTTTTATTGGATTGGTTTTATAGGTTGTGTCTTTTAAGAATTTTGCTGATTTTATCTAAATTAGTGAATGCTGGGGTGCCTGGGTGGCTCAGTGGGTTAAGCCTCTGCCTTTGGCTCAGATCATGATCCCAGGGTCCTGGGATTGAGCCCTGCATCGTGCTCTCTGCTCAGCAGGGACCCTGCTTCCCCCCCTGTGTCTCTGCCTGCCTCTCTGCCTACTTGTGATCTCTGTCTGTCAAATAAATAAATAAAATCTTTTAAGAAATAAATAAATAAATTAGTGAATGCTTTGGCATAAGGTTGTTCATAATATTTTTTTATTATCTTTTTAAATATTTTTATTGTCTCTAATGGTTATCTTTTGGATTTGTAAATTGTCTCTATGATAGATTTTTCTCTTTCAATGATTTAGGCTCTTTTTTATTTCCTTCCTTTTATTTACTTGGGGTTTAATATGTTTTTCTTTAGTTTATTAGGGTAGAAATTTAGATCACAGATTTCAAACCCTCTCCTTTTCTAATATAATCTTTTAAAGATATAAATTCTCATTAGCCACTGCTTTATTCGCATATCACAAATTCTGATTTGAAGTCTTTTTTTTATTGTTTTAAGGGCTTTATTTTTTTATCAGTTATAGCTCATAACACAGCTGAGAGGAAAGTACAGAGATTTCCTATATACCCTCTGTTCCAATGCATGTATAGCCTCTTCTATTATTATTACTCACCAGAATGGAGCATTTGTTACCAAGAATGAACCTACACTGACTTATCATCCTATCTGTAAGTCCATAGTTTACTTTAGGGTTAACTCTTGGTATCGTATATGCAATGGGTTTGAACAATGTATAATGACACATAACTTTAATTATAATATACAGGGGCGCCTGGGTGGCTCAGGGGGTTAAAGCCTCTGCCTTCGGCTCAGGTCATGATCCCAGGGTTCTGGGATCAAGCCCCGCATCGGGCTCTCTGCTCGGCGGGGAGCCTGCTTCCTCCTCTCTCTCTGCCTGCCTCTCTGCCTACTTGTGATCTCTCTCTGTCAAATAAATAAATAAAATCTTTAAAAAAAAAATTATAATATACAGAATATGTTCACGGCCCTAAAAATTTTGTTTACTCTGATTTATCCCTCCCTCCTCTCTACCCTAGCAAGATAGTTTTGCTTTTCTAGAATATCATATAATTGGAATCATAAAGTACATATGGCTTTTCAGATTGGATATTCACTTAGTAATATGCAGTGAAGATTTCATGTCTTTTCATGGCTGGAAAGCTTGTTTCCTTTTAATACTGAATAATGACCCATTGACTCTATATATTAGAATTTATCCATTCACCTAGTGAAAAACATCTTGTTTCCAAGTTTTGATGATTATAAATGAAGCTACAATATACATCTGTGTGCAGATTTTTGTGTGGACATATATTTTCAACTCCTTTACATAAATATCAAGGAGTGTGACTGCTGGATCATATGGTAAGAATATGTTTAGTTTTATAAGTAACTGCCAGAATGTCTTCCAAAGTGGGTGGGCTCTTTTGCATTCCCACCAGAAATGCAGCAGTATATGGGAGTTCCTGTTGCTCCATATTCTTGCCAGAATTTGATGTCAGTATTCCAGCTTTGGGCCATTCTAGTAAATAGTGAAGTGTTATCTTATTGTTTTAACTTGCATTTCCTTGATAACATGTGATGTGGACTATCTTTTTATTTATTTATTTATTTTGTCATCTATACATCTTCTTTGATGAGGTGTCTGTTGAAGTGTTTGGCCATTTTTAAGCAGGTTGTTTATCTCTTGTTGAATTTTAAGAGTTCTTTATGTACTTTGGATAACAGTCCTTAATCAGATATGTCTTTTGCAGACATTTTCTTCCAGTCTGTGGTTTGTCTTTGAATTCTTTTGACATTGAATTTTGAAGAGAAGTTTTTAATTTTAATGAAGCCCGGCTTACCAGTATTTATTTTTCAAGGATTCTGTCTTTGGTGTTGTATTCAAAACTTACAGTTTTGCATTTTATGTCAGTCTATGATCAATTTTGAATTAGATTTTGTGAAGGGTATTGGGTCTGTGTCTAGGCTTATATTTTGTGTGTTTGTGTGTGACTAGTTGTTCCAGCACCATTTGTTAGAGAAACTGCCTTTGCTCTACTGTATTCTGTTTGTTACTTTGCCAAAGATCAGTTGACTACATTTGGGGTGATTTGAGGTGTTTTCATTAGTATTTTGTCCTAAGTACTTTCTAAATTCATTGGTGATTTCTACTTTGACTCATAGGTTATTTAGAATTGTGTTGTTTAATTTTCAAGTATTAATGATTATTTCATATATTTTACTATCCTTGCTTTCTAATTTAATTAATTATGGCCAGATACTATACTCTGTAAAGTTTAATTTAAAATGAAATGATACTTACTTTATCCCCTAACCTTACAGTCATCCTGGTAGACATTCCACGTACACTTGAAAATAATGTGTAATCTATAATTATTTGGTGTTAGTATACTCTGTCAACTACAGCATGTTGATGACAGTGTCTACTTTTGCAATTGGTTATTGTGTAAGGAATGTTATAAAATCTCCAAATATGACCATGGACTGCTAGTCAGTTTCTTCCTTTAATTCTGCTTAGTTTTTCCTTTATATATTTTTAAGCTCAGTTAGTAAGTACATGCACATCTAAGGTTGTGAAGAATTTATCATTTCTTTCATTTTCTTAATCTCTTTGTATCTGGTAATATTCTTCATTTTGAGGACCATTTTGTGATATTATAATAGCCCAGACACTTATCTTACATTTATTATTTACATGTCATATTGTTTTCCGTTCTTTACTCTGAACCTAGTTGTGCCTTATCACTGCTCAAGTTCCCAGAAGGCAAACTCTAACATAGGGATTTATGTGCCAGGAGTTTATTGGGTTGTGCTTCCAGTGGTAATATTTTGAGGGGAATGATGGAAGCATGATTAGACTGAGAGATTTTGATCTTCAGTGCAATTGCAACAAAGGTCCTAGCTGATCTTATGGTGGCTCTAGACACAAGTGACATTCTGGGTGAGGGTAATACCTTTATACCCCTTCATGGTCGGTCAGTAGGTGAGGGTAAGTCCAGAAAGGGTGTGATTTAGGGCAAAATGACTCTCTTTAGTTGAGACATTTCTTGGAAAGGAATTTAGTTGAGAACTGCTAGTTGGTAACACTACCAGCATCTATAGGAATGAATTTTTCTGGGCAGTATGCCATAGTATCACAGTGTGTCTGTATTTAAAATACTCCTCTTGTAGATCCCTAATAGTTGGGCTGTGGTTTTTTAATATACTCTGACAATCTCTGTCTCTTCATTGAACTGTTTAGTCCATTGATATTTAGTGCAAACATTGATATGCTTAGGTTTGAGTGTGCTGTCTTGCTACATGTTTTCTGTTTTTCACATATGTTCTTCCTTACTTTCTCTATTCCTGGTTTTTGGGGTTAATCAATCCTTTTAAATGTTTTATTTTAACTTTTCTATTGACTTTTTATTATATCTGTCAATATTTTTTCTTATTAATATTTAATGTTAGTTATTACTTGAGGAATCCTAAATGTCTTCTCCAAGCATAACATAACATCACATGCCAAATGAAAGAACCTTAAAAGAATGTAATTTTGTCCCACTATCTTTGTGATATTGATATATATTTTGCTCCTGTGCTATATTATAAATCACATAATGCAGTGTTGTGGAATTTTTTTGTTTGTTTGTTTGCTTGTTTTTGTTTTTTGTTTTTGCTTCATTTGGCAGTCTTTCATGAAAAAAAAAAAAAAGAGATAATCTTTGTATTTACCTATATATTTACATTTCTGTCACTCTTCATTCCTTCCCCTAGTTCTGAGTTTTTATCTGGTATCTTTACTTTTAACAGAAGGTCTTCTTTCATTATTATTTTTATAGGATAGCTTATTGGTGATAAGTTCTCTCAATTTTTATTTATTTCATGTGTTTTCCTTCTTTCATTGAAGCATGTATGGCTTATTTGGACTACTGTAAAATTCTGCTTTTTTAAGTTTCTGTTTCCAAAGAGGGTCAATCTTTTAAGAGTCTCAGTTTTATTTAGGGTCTCAATTCCAGCACATTCCCTTATGTCAAACTGTCTATTCCTAAGTAGATATTAAAGGTGTAACAACTCTAGCCCTCAGTCCTTAACATCAGTTTTCAGCTCTGGATCCACAAGGTCAGCTGGAAGTTTCTGTTCTGACTTTGTTTGTACTTTACTTCTAGCTATTGATTTCTTTGTCACTGGTGGCTGAGGACATCAAATTTTAGGGGTTAAATATTTTCAGCATTTCTACATGTTTATAATAGAGATGGTCAAGGTAGGAGGGAGGGTATCCCTATCAACTTAAACAGCTAAGATGACAGAATATTTCTTCTGTACTTTATTATACAGAATAGTTATAGGATTACAAATAAATTATGAAGCTCAACTATCATGGAAGCTGTATTTATTTATTAATCTTTAATGGACTGTCATGTTCATCTAGCTAACAAAGAAGTCTTAGCTTTTAGTCTCCATTCTTACTGTGAGATCACATGTGTGCTCAGTAAAAAAATATATGTCGTTTTTTAAGAAATCATTGCTGAGATTTTAGTTTTTGCTCTGCTCTTCCTGCTCTAACAGGTCTATGGAAATGCAGGACCTTGCAAGTCCTCATCCTCTTGTTGGAAGTGGTGATACTCCTGGTAGCTCCAAACTGGAGAAGGCTAATCTCAGCAGTACATCTGTCACCACAAATGGAACAGGAGGTAAGTGTACCACCACGGAGGCACCCAGAATCACTTTTCAATGTTTGCTATAATTTCAGATGTTAGGAGTCTACTAATAAATAAATCCTTATCAGCAATAACATAATCAGCATTATGTCTGGGGACGATATGGCTAATAGATTATTATTCTGCTGATTATCTTGCACCTCCTCTGTAGCTGGAAAAAATCAGAAAAAGTAGATATCCCTGAACAACATTTTAAAGACTTTTAGCAAAGCTTCCTTTTTGTATTTGCCCTAGGAAATATTTCAAAACAAAAATGTAGAAAATGTGGCCAAAAGGATTTACACTCTGATCTTGTGTGTGTGTCAGAGAGAGAAAGAGAGATTATACTAGTTTTTGGTTTTATTCTGAATTGCAGGAGAGAGGCTACCCCAAATTTTTCTTAAAAACCTTTTTTCTTAAGAGGTTTGAGAATAGAAAAATATTTATGTCTGCTGCACTCTCTTTTCAAGGAGATTAATACCTGATGTATTTAAAGTGGGAATTAAAGTTTTTTCAGATACTTTCTCATTTGATTAGCTTATAATCATGCCATAGCATATGGTAACAATAACAGTTATTTCAAATATTCTGCCCTACTGATTTTATAATATGCATTCAGCCATCAAAAGATATGGTCTGATTTTTGCATCAGAATATGTATATGCATCACATACCTATATATATGATATATATATACACATGTGTAAACTACTTTTTAAATTATTCATCATTTTGAAGTTTTATCTATTTTAGTCATTAGAGAAAAAGTATATGCATTTGTTTTAATTTATAAACTAATAATATTATTAGATAACAGCATTTGCCACATCATATTTTCTTTTAAAATTTCAATAAGTATTTATGAAATTGACACACCTCTTCCCATTTATTTTAAAATAACTGTGCAGTCTAAACTTTTTCTGTAAAATTGTATGCATTGCAATTTGCCTGTATTTAATAATGTTTTGCACCAAACCCTTTGTAGATTAACATTCCCTTGTTTATGATGTTTATTTGTCTCTAAACATGCATCTATAATTTTAGCTATTTAATTATGGGAGTGCAAATTTTTAAGATTGTTTAGTGATGATTTCTGGTGTAAGGACATTTAGATTTAAACTTTAACTTAGATACATGTAACAAGATTTTTAAAACCTTTGGAATCAAATCTTGGAGTTTCACTAATCATCATGTATATGTATTTAACGGAACTAAAACAGACCTGATAAAATAAAGGATAAAAATCATACAGTGCAGTTATGATTTTAGCTAAAAGGTCAGGCACCAGTGCAGGCATTGAAGACTATTCCTGCACACTGAGCCGGCATTCGGACAATGAACCCTTATACTGTTCCTGTTCCCAGGGGACAACATGACTGTTTTAAACACTGCAGACTGGTTGCTGAGTTGCAACACCCCCTCTTCCGCAACAAGTATGAGAGATGATGGTACACTGCATGTGTTTGGGTGTGTTGGTATTGCCCTTCTGGTTTGCTTTCTGTGGCTCTTTCTGTTTGCATTTCCTTTTCTGTGTTAGGTACTTGTAACAAAAAAGGAGAAATAAACATGACTTTTTGTTGCTTATAGATAATAGTTGACTATGTGTTTTCCTTACCAACTAGTATTCTAATCTTAGATTCCTTAAACCAATGGTATTTTTTCTTACATTGGTTTATAATGTTGCGCCAACATATGCATCTGTTGTTTTTCTAACTACGTATCATCTAAGTGCCTAATAGAGCACAGCAGCCCTAGCTCTAAGAGTGGGTGAACCAGATTGCACAGACATACAATCTTGGTCATCCCCGTGACCTACAGACTGTCTTCATTGAAATTCTTAACATGGCAAAAAGATATCTGTGATTTTAAGGCTGTCAATAAATAATCCAGTTAAAGTGCCTAAAGCAACATAAACATTTAAAATTCCATCATTTAAAGAATTATCAGTGTGAAAGCTACACATTTAAAATTATAAATCAGTATTAACCCTTAAAATACTTTGAACTATAATTACTGCATTCATATACAGAAAATATATAGAAGTGTAAACAAACTTTCTTTTTTTAAAAGAGCTATTTATTTATTAGAAAGAGAGTGTGGGGAGGGGCAGAAGGAGAGGGAAAGAGAGATTCTTCAAGAAGACTCCTCATTAAGCGCAGAGCCTGACATAAAACTCAACCCCAGGACCCTGAGATTGTGACCTGAGCTGAAACCAAGAGGCACACACTCAATGAATGAGCCAGCCAGGCACGCCATAACATTTTTCTTTTTCTAAATCAAAAGCTAATATACTACTAAAATCAAAAATAAAAACAAGACTATAACACTAACATGGAATCACCCAATAGTAAAATTAAAAAGAAGACCTCCCTACCTGTTGGAAATGTGCATTACAAAAGAATAGTTAGGATAGGCAGTTTGGCCAGATCTCTCTGTTTCTGATTAAATGAAAATATATGACCAGTGAGTGAAAAATAATTCCATTATATCCATTATTTATTTTTTAAAAATAATTTTAACTTGAAATGTTTTCCATTTCCACCTTGAAATACACATTTTATACTTAAAAATCTGTTGCAAGAATTTAGTTTCTCTTAATTCTAACTCAGGAGTCTTTTTCTATAAAGAGCTGGATAGTAAGTATTTTAGTCTTTATAGAACATACCATGTCTGTCTCATCTACTCCACCCTGCCATCCTAACTCAAAAGCAGCCATAGTCAATGCATAAATGAATGAGATTCATCAGGTTCCAATAAAACCCAGTATTCAAATTTCATAGTTATGACAACACAAAATATTCTAGTTTTGATCTTTTTTTAAAAAAACATTTCATTTGTGAAAAACATTCTTAGCTCACTGGCTATTGTTCTGTTTTCAGATATTCATGTAACATGGGAGCTTTACCATAGTGAATATGTACAGTGTTTAGTAATTTAGATGAATCTCAACCAGATATATTTTTCTAAGTGTTAAGTATCAGATTTTCCTAGTTCTTAGTGTTAATGTTAAGAGTCATGTGGCCATGTGGGAAGAACAAAGAATTGTGTGTCAGGAGGAACACACTTACTAGCTGTGTTACCTTGGACGAGTCACTTAACCTCTCTGAGCTTTAATCTCTTTCTATGAAAGGAGGAAAATAATATTTCCCTGCCAAAGCTTTTGTGTTAAACTGTATACTAGTGTATACAAATTGCTTGCCAGTAAAAACCAGTATGTTTCTCTTTCTTTAATTAACAATTCAATAATGACTAGGCAATAGTTTTAAAAGAAAATGAAAACATACATTATGTTAAAAGGTTTTCTAATATTTGGTCATAAAATATATTTTTCTGCATTTAGAATGCGCAAACTGGCCAAAGAAGGCAAGTTTTTAGTAATAAAATGTTAGGTATACTTTGATTGTTAACGATGTAATCTTGGTGGCTTACTGACATGAAATTTATGAATTTATGAATTTTAATGACTTCGGGGAGTTTATTGTATGAGTGTATGTTGGGTATTTATAGCACAAACAAAGATTTGGTGCATATCTCTCCCATTGACAATAAACTGTTTTATCTTTAATCTTGGGTTTTATTGTGGGAATTGGATCCCTTTATAAAATTATTATAATAAAAGAAAAAAGCAAAAGCTAATTTCGTGGCTTTGAAAACCTTTCCTTTAACTTTGAGGTTTTCAAAAGGACTTGAATTATATAGTTTTTACTAATATGAATAAGTTGATAGTGTCCCCTTAATATCTTACCATATTACATTGGTACTCTTAAATATATTACATTATTCTTTGAAGTGATTTAAACTGTTTCAACACCTTAGAGCTAATTATATAATTACATCTGCAGATTTATATTGGAAAATAATTTTTCTTTCAAATTTTTATTGCTTGTAAAATTGTTAAAATGTAGAACTGTCAATAAAAGTAGAATATATTCAATCATACCCTAGCATATAGATCAGTGGTTAACAAATTTTTTTCTGCAAAGAGTGAGATAATAAATATTTTGGGCTTTGCAGGTTATAAGGTCTCTGTTTTAGGTATTCAGCCCTGCTGTTGTTCCACAAAAGCAGCTATAGACAATGGGCTTGGCTGTGTTCAAATAAAACTGGATCTGTGAACACTGAAATTTGAAATTAACAGAATTTTCACAAGTCACAAATATCCTTCTTTAGATATTCTTCAACTGTTGAAAAATTTAAAAGTCATTCATAGCTCACAGGCTATCCAGAAACAGGCCATGGGGAAGATTTGGCATGTGGGATGTAATTTGCTGCCCCCGAGATGAGCTATATGTATGCTCTGAGTCCTTCATGTATATGCATACTTACGCATATAAATGCATGCCGATCTTATGAAAAGTTGCAGAAATACATAAGCTTTTTATTTGCTTAATGGTGTCAAGATTCACGATTAGCTGTACTTTACAGAAAGACATCTGTTGGAATTGCTTAGGATAGGATCTAAAAGTGGATTTTCACTTTCTCAATTAAAATGTATCAAGTTCCTGTTATATGCCAGGCTCTGTGCTAGGAAATGGGAACCCAGTGACCTATAGAATATGATACTGGCCATCAAGGGACCAAAAGTCTAGCAGAGGGAAACAGACAAGAAAGTAATGAGTGCATAATGTGTTCAAGGTGAGTGCATAGCAGAGGGAGGGAATATTTGATTCTACATGGAGATTAAGAAAATGCTTTAGAGAGAAGGTTTGGGGGAACCTAAATCAGACATTCTGATCAGATTTACAACATTTTCTATATTTAAAATCTATATATCATAGAAAAGAATCTTTCAGAATTTTTATTATGTTTATTATACACATGATTTTTCTTATGCAAGGGGTTTATTTCTGAATGTTACATGTTCATGAAGTAGAACCATTTACTATCGTGCCTCTATTCTTTTTAGATTCTTTTTTTTTAAATGAAAGCCATAAGCTGCTTTATTAAATTATTTTACAAAAATTATTTTATTTCTGGATATTTAGGAGTGAAAGACACTTGGTGCTCATAGATAGAGTGAACATATTGATTCAGACAAACTAAATCATAGGCTATACTAATTATTAAAAAGTAGTAGGCCATACTGCGTGCTCCCCTGCAGTGTTATAAATTGTATCCTTCCTGATCTAACTCCTCCTGAAATGCTTTGCAACACCTGTGCTGTCAGAAGGAGCTACGGGTGATTTTGTGGTTCAGAAAGAAGTATATTTAGAATTAGCATATGTATGTCTTTTAAGTGTATACCAGTTTAATCACAGATTTTGGAAGATGAAATGTAAAATGTAAATTACTTGGGTCACCTTCTCTTTCAAGGATTAACTCTGCTAGTGCAACTAATGAACATGAACTTTGAATTATTACAATAAACAGACTTTCTTCACAAATCATTAATATACATTAACTTTGTACTTGAGTTCCAAAGATAATCTGAACAGACAAGATTAAATTTGCTTTGAAAATATGTGTAGGAGGGTATGGATCAAGGTTGAGGCACAGCTGACCCCGGACAATAATCCTGTACAATTTTGATTTAGTCCATAGGTATCAATTATTTTTAAAGGTAAAAAAAAATCCAATTATACCAATATATTATAATCAATATATTAAAAATATTTTGACTTATTTTTAAACATCTGTCTCTGTGAAAAACATCCAAATTACAACTATATAACAAGAAATGCTTGTATTTCTTAAATAGTAAGTTCTGTACAAAGTGCTATATATAGTTTCTCATCTCACTTTCAGAGAAACCCTGAATTACTGAATTAACCCTGAACTCTGAATTACTTATTTTGAGTATATAGAGGAGTAAAACCACAATACTCTTTAACTTCGAATTTTAAAATATGATTGTTGCTTTTGAAATCCAAACATTTGTCTGTAAGTTTCATTTTGTTGAAAAATATGATGTTTCTCTTTTATAGAAGATTGTCCTTTCCATTTTATAGCATGTAATGATTCTGGACACTGTCCTAATAGGTTAAAAACCCTGTTGAACCTGTGTTAATTTAAGAAAAGTGAAATACAGTGAGAAAAAAATACATTTGAATGTGACCATGAATATACACTGATAATCATTTGGAATGAGGATTTTTGTAAGTTTTAGAAAATAGTAAGATGTTTCATTTTTGAATATCTTTCCAGTAATGCTCTGCACATATTTAACTAAAAACAAAGTTGCCTGCCACTAGAAAAGTATATGGCATATTTAATTTAAAGTACAGAAGCAAAACCAAGACAAAAGAAATCAGAATACATTTCAAATATATGTGGACCTTTATTGAAAATGACTTAACATTTTTCAAACCTTTATAATTAAAATAGTATTTCCTTTGTCCTAGTAACCTGTTTCATAAATATTAAGATACTCATTTGTATTCTGTCTTTTTAATCAACTAATCATATATGGAATGTCCATTTCACTTCTCTTGGTTTTCTGCCCCTGGAGGAGCAAACTGTTTATTATTACCTAATGTTATTTTTTTTGTTGTTCACAAAATCAAACCAAATTATTTTGCATTTTACTTGGAGCTCAAGAGATGTTTGTTGATGTCGACCTAATGTGAGAATAATTTACTTACTGTAGCAACATAATCAAATTTCCCTCTTTTCCTTTTTGTTCTTACCTGCATGTGAAAAATAAATAGCAATAATGTGCAGTTTTTCCCCAAATCCATTTGTTGAATTATTACTTTAAAATCCATGCATGTTAGTACACCGAACGCTTCTTAACATCTATGATTCTCTTCATATGCTTTTTACAGATGCCTTTTCTTGGTAAAATGAAACTTCTTTTTCTGTCGTTGACTGAATTCAGACCTTTAAAATTTTAATGAGCAACATTTCCAGTATAGTGAATGCAACTACAAACTCTTTGTCTCCCTTTTCTTCCTCCTCCTTTTGACCACCTGAAACATGCAAATTGAGGAGATTATAATCAACATCAATACAAAGTTGGGATCCAAAGTAACAAAACTAATCCTCATGTCTGGCTTCTAGACTAGTTTTTTAGACCCAGCTCACGTTCTGATCCTTCCTCCTCAATTCACAAGCAAATTATGGAATTTTTTTACAACGATTTTATAAGTATTGTTTATAGATTTAGGCCCATGTACATAGGAATTTAGCCAGCATTAGAATTTAGAAGTTTCAAGAGACTGTCCACTGTATTAGTGTTGCCGAAGGCTTTGGGCTGTGCTTTTTTGTCAGAAGTCGAACGTGGACATTACATCAGAGAGAGAACTTTACATCCATCCTGGCCACACTCTGGATCACCTTCATACAGATGAAAGGAATTCTTGAATAATTCGTGCTTCCTGAGAGGCAGTATGGTTTAGAATTTGGATTCTGATCCCATACCACCTGGTCTCAAATTCTAGTTCTTCCTAGCTATGTGACTACAGGCAAGTTATTTAGCTACTTTGTGCTTCAGCTTAGTCATTTGAAGAGTAAGATGATAATATTATCTACCTCATAGGATCGTCATGAGGAGGAAATGAGTTCATATCTGGAAAGCATAGCAGCAGCCCCCGGCACATATTAAATATCTTTTAAGTGTGTGTTGTTATTATCTGCTTTCACACTTGCTCCTTATCGCCTTTTAAGAAATTTCATGAGAAGACACGGAAAATGTACTGTAGTAGCCTGTTCTCATATTTGCAGTTTTCATTTCTGACGTTTTTTTTCTTAAATACGCTCTCTGGAGAATAAGGCCATTCTTATCCATCTCTGAGCCTTTGTGAGGAGTCCCTGTGGTGAACATAACCATTTTTATACCTGAAGGCAGGCTATTATGATGGAGAGATTGTGGATGGAGAGCTAAAGACCTGAGTTCTGATCATAGTTTCTTCATCTCCTGCAAAGGAATGAATGCAAACTCCTTAGCCCACCCTTCAGCTTTCTGTTATATAAAATGGAGACAGTGGTTCCTATCCATCAGAGTTGTTTTAACGATCAGCTCCATGTCAGTGGTCTAGCACATAGTAAGCTCCTGATAAATAGTTTTGTAGTAGTTAATAATTTGTAGTGGGAAATATAATTAGCAGTCAGGTATAACTATAAATGCATCACTATGTAATAGACTACTATATAAATTACTACCGTAAAGTTTTCACCACCAATTCATTATTTATCACTATACAGTAACTAGACCCTATGCCTCAGATTATTGTTGTTATTGAAAAATAGGGCAAGCTTAAACTTCCCTTTTGCTAGGGTAAGTAATCCAAATTTCTTCACTACTGCTTTCCAACATTTACAGTACTCCTCTGAATCTTTGGGCAAATCTTCACGACATTCTTTTCTTTCTTTTTTTTTTTTTTTAAGATTTTATTTATTTATTTGACAGAGACAGAGATCACAAGTAGACAGAGAGTCAGGCGGCGGGGCGGGGGGGGGAGTGGGGGGGGGAAAGCAGGCTCCCTGCTTAGCAGAGAGCCTGATGCGGGGCTTCATCCCAGGACCCTGAGATCACAACCTGAGCCAAAGGCAGAGGCTTAAGCCACTGAGCCACCCAGGCACCCCTCTTTAGGACATTCTTAAGTCATGAATGCTAACTTAACTCCAGGGCTCACTGTGGGGCAGGAAGAGGGGGTGGTTCCGGTCAATTCTGTTTGTGTGGAAAGAGAGCATAATCATTACTGCATGGTTCTCTATCAGCTAGTTGATTGCCTTTCTAACAGAGTAACATTGCTGACTTGCTTGGTTGATGGGAACACTCTGACTGCAGGATTCTTTTTGCCATGTTTGCTCATGGTTGGCTAGTCTTCAGCTTGCTTCTTCATAGTTTTCTGCTTGCTTGTAAGTTATTTAACTGTATCATTCCATTCATAACCAGGAAACACAAGAGGTGTTCAGTAGAAAGTAATTTAGTTGATCCCCTTGCTGCTGTGATGTATGTAGCAGAGCTTTGCCCACAAAGGGAAAATATGGTGTGACAAAAACAGGCCGGGGCTTTTCCACGGCCCCCTTCCCCTACTCACTGCATCTAATAATGCCAATAATGATGTGTGCCTGCCGACATCACTCCCAAGTGAGGATTTTGGCAAAATATATGACTTCAGAGTAGAAATAACCTTTTAAAGAGTTTTCAGAACTGCTGTAGAAATGATCTTTCTCTCTGCTTATCTCTATAATGCATTAAAAATTGTTATACCATTAAAATAAAACCCCCAATATCTTATGACTGTTTAGATATTTAAAAACAGAAATTTATTGTGTGCCTCATTGTCCATCCATCTCAGGAACAGGCCCATGGTTTCTTTATTTGCATATGCTTCCATTGTACTTTTATGCAATCTATCATGTGTTTTTTAAAAAAATGTCTCCTTGGGAAGAATAAAATATAAGCTAGTAAATCTCTTTGTTATGATTTGGATTAAATGGGCTAAGGACCGACTGTGATTCCTTTTTTCTGTCTTTTGACTCTAATGTCAGAGGGTGCTTAGGTGAGTTACAAATGCAAACATGTGTACTGCTCTTTCCCCTTATAAGGTTGACTGCCTTTAAAACCAGATCTGAGAGAACTAGCTTAGTCAGAGGATTTTTATATTAAATCCTCTAGAAATGCATGTCCATTTTTTAGAAGCTCAATTAACACAACTTTCCTCATCGATTTCTCAAGTGTTCTCTTGCATGCCCATGGTAGTTGGAAAAGCCACTAGTGGAACAGTCAGCATCTTTGATAAACATTTAGAAATAAAACTCACATGTCCTTATTCTTCTACATAGTGTCTCTCCTTGCAGTCAAAACAGAGCCTTTGAACAGCAGTGAAGCGGCAACCACCACTGGAGATGGAGCCCTTGAAACTTTTACTGGGTCAGGTAAAGCCTCAAGCTCATGCGTTGCTACCTACGTATTGGGGTACACATCATCTTCCTGGCGAATAAGCAGCATAAATACCAAAACGAAGTTTCGAGAATGTGGGTTTTTATCACTTTAGCGTCTGATGTGTTTATTTTGAGAGCTAATGGTGACAGAAGTGTATATTTTTTAAAAATTATATTTGGAATCATTTTTACTGGATTTGCAGTTGACAGCAAAACTGTCCTCTGACCTCCTTGTTAGAAAGAAGCAGGGCTGGCTTCCTTTGTAATGATTTTATACAGTGTTTAATTTAATCATTAGGTCATAATCGTTGGCTTTGTTCCCTTAACTTGTCCATTTAAATGGCATAAAAAACTCCCTTCTCTCCCAACATTCGAGATGTAAAACTATCCATTTGATTCCTTCTAAATAACCTTGTTTCCTCTCTGGGTTTAAAAAAAATCCTCCTGTGTAAGCAGCTGAGTGACAAGTATTAAAGGTTAATGGGCTGCTGGAGGACACATGCTGGTTGCATTAGGACCCAGCCTGAGAGCACTACTTTCACCTAGTGCTTCAAAGAGAACAATAGCGTATCTTTAAACAGCAATCCTTTTAAATATAAATACCTGATAACTCCCAGGTGGGCACAAAGGACACGCATTAAGTTGACTTCGTTAAAGATTTTAAGCTACAATATTTAGTTTATTATCTGGTGAAAGGATTTTTTTTTTTTTAACCCGAGAAGGATTTTAATAGCACAAAGATGAACAGTAAACATAGAGAAATTTTTGTGGTAATTTACATTGTAGTTCTGTTGGTCTACTATGATATTTCTTACGTTTCATCCATATTCTCACACGCAAAGGTTTTACGTGTGTATGCTTCCGGTATAAAGAGTGGAAGTACGTCCTTGAATATAATATTGAAGCATACATTGCATTTTCATAGAAATAGATGATCCCCCCTCGTTAATTCACACTGATTGGGAGCAGTTGCTGTGTATTCACATAAATATTGGTATTTCAGACAGAAAGAGGTAATAATTCATACACTCTGCCTTGAGACTCATATGTGCCAATTCATATCCTTTCTAGCAATTCACTTGCCTCCCGCGAGATAAATAGGTACCAGCTTACTCTAGCAGTCTTTACTGCTCACCTACCATAACTCTTGTAAAACTTTCTGCAGAGTAAATGCTTTGGGAACACATTTTTAGGGAAAGAAGTGGAAATACTAAGTAATTGCTGGCATACTTAAATACCATACCACAAGTTTATTGAAAACTAAATGACAGCGTTGTAGAACGTTAGTCCCACAAGGAATTTCAGAGGTCTCTGATCTGATTTATAGGCAGGAGCACAGAGGTGCAGATAAGTTAAAGGTGGTGAAGGCCAGACGGTCCTGGTCTCACAGCTGGTCACTGGTATGCGTGAGTGCAGAGCCGTGGTCTGACGAGTCTGGCAGTCCCTTCTATAATAGTCCATTGGAAAATACAAAACTGGGAAAAGAAATAGTTGTGAGCAGTCATCCTCTCTAAAATTCATGCATATTATCTTTATCTTTATAAATAGTTATCCAGTTTTCTTTTACGAATTATCTAAGGCTGTGCTGTCCCATAGTCACTAGCCCTATGTGGCTATTTAAGTCTAAATTATTTAAAATTTGGTAAAAGTAAAAATGTTGTCTCTCATCACAGCAGTCACATTTCAAGTGTTTAAGAGCTGCCTGTGGTCTTTTTGTGGCTATGGTGTTGAACAGCTCAGATATAGAACATTTCTAGCACCATGGACCAGGTTCCTTTAGACAAAGTGTTCAAAGTCAGGGATTCCCAACAGTAGCACTATTAAAAATTTGGCTTTTTTTCTTTTTTTGTTTGTAGTGGAGGATCTGTCCTCTGCATTGGAAGGGGTTTAGCGGCATCCCTATTGTCTATCCTAGAAGGACAGTAATACTCCCCAGTCATGATAACCCAAAATGTCTCCAGACATTTTAAATATCCCCTTGTAGGTAAAAATCCTACCTGCCCAGCTCCCTCACTTCCCATCTCCTGCCCCACTGAAAATCTCTGATCTAAGGTGTCACAGTAATTAGACTAAAACCTTAAAATTGTTTGCATCACCCTCTGAGAATCTTGTAATACTATATAGAAATTTGCTTTTATTAACTTTTAGGACATTTTGAAAACAAGCAGTTTGTTTACTTTTATTTGCAGAGATGATGGAATATAATGAGTTGAGCGTGTTGGGTAATAACTCTTGTTTACTGAAATGACAATGGGGAATGAGAGGAACGTCTCTGAAATCTGTACATGGTAGTCCAGAAACCATACCGGAGATTAAGCTGCCCTGTGTAGAAACAGACTTTACTATGGTCGGCGGAATCTCATCCCACCTTAAGGAAATTTTGTTGTTTTCTGTTACCTGAAGACTCATGAGTTAGAATAAATACATACATTTTAGTGTAGAAGCAAGTTTTGTATGAACATCTTAGTTTTCTGAGCTAGAGGTTTTGCATTCTATTTAGCAAGTGAACATACAGACATTAATAAAAATTTTAAATGTTGAGCCTTGGTACTGTTATGGGTACATTATTTTAATATTGTCTAGATTCATTCATTAGCAGGAGGAAAATCCTATATTCAGATTTCCATTCAGGTATATGGGGCTTTTTCTCTGAAATATTTTTGCTCTTTGGCTTTTTTTTTTAAAATAAAAGTTGCTCTGGTGGATGGTTCTTTTCATTTCCTGATGTCACTTTGGAACAGTTTTGTGATATGCAATCTTGAGAAGAATTGATTACTATAAAATGACATTTTATAAATAAGTGACAACACATGGAGTTATGCCTCGTTTAACTATATTTTTGCTCACTATTGTGAGTTAATGAAACAGACTGAATTTCCTGGGGAATAACACTATTGCTGTTATGTAATAAACGCTTAGCATCTGTAATGTGGTAGGAAAAGCATGTTCTCGTTAAGGTGATTTGAAAGTTTTAAACATTAAGCTTTTAATAAATCAGTATAAAATTAATGGTTCATTGGTCAATTGATTTGCAAATTTAAATAGCAATTTCACTTAAATTTTGTTTAGTTAAAACATTTAGAACCTGACACCTCTCGTCATATTCAATGATTCTCAAACTGATTCATAATATCCTTGAAAACTTACTTTCTGTGCTATTGCTATGAAAAACCATAATACACTTTCCATACTCAGAGCTTACAGGCCAAATAGCATTTTAAATACACTAAATTCTATGTGTTTACAAAATGACAGATCACAAGGGTACTTAATAGCATTTGGATGTAGGAATATATCATGTTTCATAAAACAGTTAGCAACCTAAACCTATTTGTCACTTTTACAATTCTCAAAGTTTAGCTCCAGAATTATTATGAACAACTTAGGAAGGACACAGTACTTTGAAGTATAACTATGATTGATTAGACTAAACTAATTCCAGCACTGCATTGTGTACTACTTTAATCTTTTTGAAAAGTGAATGAACAGCAGATGGCCTAATAAAGACACTCTGTGTGCTTGCCCAGTATGGATTGGCTCTGAAGGGACTGCCTCAACGCTATGGAGTCCATGTACTTGCAATACATCTGTCTTAGTCAAGGCAGTTGGTTAAGAGAAACTTCCAGACTTCTGAATGTAGTCCAGTTTGGGGCTGCATGTTAGGACAAAATGTTAACAGGACCTGACTTTCACTTTTGAGTTCTCCTCCAGAAAGTGCTGTCTCTGATAGTTCAGAATATATTTGTAAATATGATCGCTGGGGTATTATGCAATGGTGTTTCGTAAGACATGGTGTGTTACCACTCATGCTTTCTATGCATACTCCACTTAGTACTCAGATATCTTGGACTCTGCATTTTTAACTGCTCATCTGATTGGTAAAATTAGAGGATGTAAATAATAGTATTTTACAATTTCAAAATGCAGTTGGAAACTCGCATTTTTCTTGAAATTTTATTGTATTTTTAGTAGAATAGATATGGAGGAAGAGCAGTATGTTGCTGTCCTAGTTGGAATTTAAAACATAAAACCTAAAGTCTGAAAATTTTTAAAAATTTACTTTGTCACAAAATCATAATGGTCTGGAATCAAGGATATTTATTCCTACTTAATCGTACGTAAGAATATGCTACTGATGTGAGAATGTGAAAGAACAACAAAGAGAAAGGATTGTGAGGAGATTTCATTTTATGCTCTTAGACCAAACTTGAAGCAGTTCCATTACAAGAAAATATTTAGGCATCTGTTTCTGTTTAGAAAATGATTTTTTTCTGTTTAGAAAACGAGTGAATTTGTAGAAACATCTCTTGAACATGATAATTTCTTCAAACTGGCTTTGTCATTCTAGTGAAACATATTCACGAAGCAACTTTTTTTGCACTGGTTTTTTTGTGTCTTACAGTAATAACAAGTAGTGGCTACAGCCCCAGATCAGCACATCAATATTCCCCACAGCTATATCCTTCCAAGTAAGTGCTCAGTAGATTCCTTTGTGTATGTAAGTGTGTCAAAGATAGTTGAATAGATGGATGCTTGCACAGAGCAGTTGGGTGGGTTAGACATATGGACAAATACCCTATACAAATCCAGGAACAGAGATATACTCCTGTTTGTCCAGACAGTTCCTTTAATTCTGGATCTTTGTATACCTCGAGGAAAGCGTCAAGCTCAAACCAGAAAACACTGATTTCTGGATGAAAATTCAAAAATGCTGACTAGCTTAAGGAAAATCTGAAAAGATTACATCTTATTCAAACGTTAACCCTTCATAATTTGTTCCATATAACATCATTTTCATGGGATTTCAAGTTCTCAGGCACATATTTTAGAATAATGTGCTCCATTGTTTTTTACAACAAACAAAGTCAACTTATTGAAGGCAGGGGTAGAAATTTCAAATTTAACAATATTAGGTATATATCTGAATTTGGTTACAATCAGCCAGATGTGTTAAGGTTTTGGAGTCATGATCCACACACATTTAAATGTTATTCTCTGGAGCAGCTACAGTCTCTGCCCTTAAGTACAGACTGGGGTTTGGATATCCATTCGGGAACATTCTGTAAAATGTGGCACAATAAAGGGAGTGGCATTCCATTTCTTTTCAGGAAACAGCTGCCTACCTTTTTCCTTTCTTTTCTTTTTTCTTAAATGTCCTGTTCTCGGCAGAGAATTGGTAGGACTTTTCATGACTTGTGTATCTGTGGTATAGCAGCAGGGGAGACTGTAGGTAGAAACTGTAGGTAAGCTCATGAGCATGCTAACTGGCCTGGGCTCCACTTCCCTGGTCCGCACATTAATTGAGATACTATTCCAGAGGTCAACAAGTGCTGTAGACAGAAGACTTTAGATCTAATATCTGATCCAGATGTCTCATGATATAGGTGAGACGTAAGTCTTTAAGGAGTTTAAGCCATTTGTCCCAAGTCGCTATACTGACTGGTAGCAGAGCCCGGGCTCCGGACGTTTGGACTTTTGTCCTTTCCCTGTTGTTAGAATTGTATTGTGGATGAAGAAGAGGGTTACTTCCTGGCTATGATAAGGTTTCACTGAATCTAAGCTGTCTGAAGTAATGTGCAGTCTTTGTTGCCACAGTAATGCTATTTTTCTGATATTTAGGCCCTATCCACACATTCTTTCTACACCAGCAGCTCAAACGATGTCTGCCTACGCAGGCCAGACTCAGTATTCGGGGATGCAGCAGCCAGCGGTCTACACAGCCTACTCACAGACAGGACAGCCCTACAGCCTGCCCACTTACGGTATCGCACCTCTTTCCTCTGTTTCTTTGCTTAGGAGCGGGTAATCCTGCTGCCTAGTGCTTAGATATTCTAGCGTAAGTGACAACTCAGGAGCAAGGTCATTCTACTAATGCGAGGGTCTGTGCTCTGCATTTCCCAAACAGATCTGGGCGTGATGTTGCCAGGCATCAAGACGGAGAGTGGACTTTCACAGACCCCATCCCCATTACAGAGCGGGTGCCTCAGTTACAGCCCAGGGTTTTCCACCCCACAGCCAGGCCAGACGCCGTATTCTTACCAGATGCCAGGTAAGCCACCGCACAGGAAGCATGTTACGCGAGGAGGAATTCTCTGGATGAGACTCCTTGGCTTCAGAATAGGGATATGCCTTTGTGAAAATGGTTTTAATTGTTACTGCTGTTTGCATCCGGGAAGACAAATAGCTAGAGAAGAGGAAAAACAAACAAACAAACAAAAAAACATGGTGGAAAGAATTGAATATACATCAGGAAACGTGACCTATACCAAATTTCAGTACTTAAGTTGAAGTTGTATGAAATTGGCAGGACACTAAGTCCAAGCAGAGTAACCTCCGAGCCATGTCAATCATACACAGACGTCTATTTAAGTGAGGTTCAAAGATTCATGTGTGTTTTCTTGTCCATATTCCTTAAGTGTGTAATGGTGCTTTGATTATATTTAAAATTGAGTTAATACCTTTCTAAGTCCTGTTTACCGTTTAACTATTTTGGATTTTCTGTTCATTCCTCAAATACCTCTCCTCTATTAATACTTTATTTCTTACTTGAAATATTTGTATAATTACTAATATAATTCTATATATTCAATATATTCATTATATAATCAATTCAATATATAATTCTAATATATAATTAGAAATATAAATATTTCTAATGCTAGAAATATTTATATAATTTGTACTCCCCCCCCCCCCAACAACAATCCTCTGCATCTGAGTATTTAATTTTGCTTCTACATTTGGTCATTATGTAGTAGTTGCAGAAAGAATTTTAGTGACATAGTAAATGCATTAAAAGCTTTCTGCCGTTGTGTCTGTTCTGTCTACATTTGGGGTTATGTAAATCATACTTTTTTAATCAACCCAGTGTTGAAATTTTAGTCCAACTAAAGTGAAATAATTACCTAGACCTTTTTGGCTGAAAGGGCAGATCTCTTTTTACCTAAACTGTAGAAATATAGTAGTATATATAGAAATATAGTTACATAAATGTTAAAGCCACAGTGGGCCACACATCGTCAGTTAGGAGTATGAAAGCAACCATGAGTACATTTTCATTGGTCCCCCCAATACTTCATGTTGGATATTCTGGGCCAGATCAGTTTGTGTTAATTATATAATATTATTGCAATTCTAAACACACTGATAAAACAAGTAATCAGCTGTGTCAGTAGTCTTTCATTTTACTTCTTCATAAGTCCATTCCATGGAACATATGTTTAAAAAATGATCTTTAAATTGAAATCTCACTTGTTTTTAATTGAAAAAATAATTTAAAAAACAATTAAATTTCTAACTTTGTAGTCAAATCTTTGAAGGCTCTCAAGCCCTACGTGACTGTACTATACTTAGTCTGAGTCCCACTTCACATCTTTCTTGACTCCAAGGAAAGGACAGAGGAGGAAAGAAAAGACAGGGTGCTGCAAGCATCAGTTCTAAGTTGGTTCTATGTTTCCTAAGCTAACCTTATCCACATGTTTAGCTCAAATGGTTTCTGTGTGCATATGCAGCTTGTATGACCATTTGAAAGTTCCGGTAGCTTCCTAGGAGTACTCTGCATAACATTTTATTCTTTGAAAACCTCTGCTCTTCTAGGCATTTAACCTTCAAAGGTTAACTGCTGTCCTTAAGACTGTTCCCATGTGTTCCTGTTTAGTCCAACAGACATCTACAGCAAAGACTTTATCTGTTGTCACAAGAAGGATAGAGCTAAGCACTCATTTCCTTATAAATCTCTCAACTTCAAATTTCATGTTTTGTTGCCTTAACAAAATTAAAAATATACTTCTCTCATTGGCTTCTGCAAAGTGAAATGTTTTTATAATTTTGCAAAGAGATACTTTTTAAGTGCAATTTTTTTCTTTATTTCTAGGTTCTAGTTTTGCACCATCATCTACTATTTATGCAAATAATTCAGTCTCCAATTCAACAAATTTTAGTGGTTCACAACAGGTATAGTAGCTTTTTTGTATTTAGGCTTTTTGTGTCTTTCAGATCTTTGAAGATAGTTTCGGTTATCATGTAAGTGTATACTCTCCTAGAAAAAGGTTTTTTCAAGGTGGTAAAAAATTAGCTTTCCAGAATTCTTGGGATCTGTGTTATTCTGGGTATTTTAGGTTTTCTGATTGTTTGTCCTTTAAACATTTAAGCCATGATTTTTATTTTAATCATTTGGCACAGAACTACAAAATATATTGTGTATTTTCCGATTATTTTAAACTGTTTACTAAACATAATTTCATTTTTGAAAAGTTATTATGAAAATTAATTAAGAAATTGAACTACAACCCATAAGTAGGTTATGACATTGATAGTACAGAATATTTGCTACTAAACCAAATGCCTCTTGGATTTTTTTTTTCTTTTAGTTCTGTGGTTCATTTTAATAAATGTTTGATTCCTACTTTCCTGATAGCTGTAATTTTTGCTTTTGTCAGGGTGCTTGCCTCTAGTAGTCCTTAGTCCTCCTCTTAATTATGCTTTCTTAGTATTTTGTGAGTTCTAAAATCTAGTTTGTTAGAATTGTGTGTGGAGCAAGAATGAACATTTGCTATGGGTGAATATACTGACACTTCAGAATCTTTTGTGCTTATTTCCTAGTTCGGTCAAGTTCAGAGTCGTTGAGATAGAAGGGTAGTTGATTTCCTTGGTGGACAGTACACTATTTTACTTTAACGTAGTTGTTGGACTTTTATATATTCTAAAATCTAAGTTATTGCACAAGTGCGCTCTTTGGATTTATTGAAGGGATTATATCAATTGCCTTCTTTTAATGTTTATTAATGTAACAAAAGGCAAAAAAGAAATTGTGATTATTAGTGTGGAAAAATACTATTTTTCATAGAATTAAATTGTGTAATTTGGCATTAGTTAGAAAAAATGGTTTCTTAAAACATTAAACATCAAAGCTGGTATGTCTATTTTATATTGAAAAATATTGAGAATTTTTGATAATCCAGGTAGCTTCATTTTACTTACTTTTTTGTTGATATAGGAAACATTTATTGAGCACTTATTATTCATTAGACTTTTGACCAGGCATTGAAGATTCAAAAATAATGGAATAAATGGAATAAAGGAAGCAATTCTAAAGAAACAGATAGGAAAATAATATGAACAGAGGGTAGGATATAATGAATATAATAGTAGAAATACACACTAGGCAGAGTGGTGCATAGCATAAAGGAAAGACTACTCTGTTCTACTTGGGAGGATTTATAAAAGATTCATAAAGGAGAAGAAAGATTTATAGCATAAAACAGATCCAATACTATCTAAACATTTAAAAATACAGTGGCTCCAATATGACTCATAACCTATATCTTAGACCATGGTTGGAATGCCAGTCTATTAGTTTTGCTAATACTTATTGAGTAGTTATTATGTCTTAGGACCTGGTCTGTATGCTGGGGACATGTAAGTGAGGACCAGAGTGGATAGGACCTGGTTCTGGCCTCCTGGATATCACCAACTGCCAAGAGAAGCAGACAATAAACCAGTAAATGCATGAATAAATATAGAATTGGAAAGCACGAAGAGTCATAATGGAGTCTATTAAAAATATTAATAGACATCTAATTTTGAGTAGGGAAGATTTTGTGAAGGCTTGTCTGTAGAAGCGACATTCAGGACGTCATCTAAGACTGGTGAAGAAGGAGGGCCAGGGTGTTTCGGGCATAGAAAGTAGCAGGTACCAAACATCTGGAGAGGTAAAACCCTTGGTGTGCCAGTGAATTCCAAGAAGGGGAGGGTTTAGTTTGTGCAGGAGGGCAGAGGGGGAAGCATATTTATAAAGATAGGCAGGGCTCTGTATGTGTATCCCTCTGTGAGGGATTTCAGTTTTATTCCAAGCCCAATGGGAAGCTATTAGGGTATTCCAAGCAGGAGCATAGTGTCATACAGTTTCTGTTTTGAAAATAGCACTCTGGCTTTAGGCACTTTGGAGAAAACTAAACCTGGAAATGAGACAAATTAGAAAACTGGTCCACTGGCTCCAACAGGAAGTGAAGGTAGCTTGGACCAGGGTGACAGTAGTGGGAGGAAGTGAAGGGGGGGGATCTCTGAGATATGTTTGAGTACAAAAAGATGTTTTAGTCACCAGTAGCTAGCAGTGTGGACCTTTCCTCTAAGTCACTTCATCTTCCCGTAAGGACAGTAGTAGCCTCAGGGAGAGCTTCAGCACACAGACGTCAGAGTCAGCCTCTCTGGGGACCAGTTCCAGCCTGAAATTTGCTAGCTGTCTGACCTCGAGCGCACAGATCACTTCACCACACTGTGCCTTCTTCCCCCTCAGTGAAAAATGGGGTAACAGTAGCATGTAGGTGGGTGTGAGGATTAAATGGGTGAATCCACTTTGAACATTGCCTGTGTGTGTCTTACTCTGACAAAGACAGGTTGCTAGGAGCTTTGTCCAAGTGTTGTTGAGAGGTGTTTTCCTTAGCTTACAGGTGGTGATGGGGAACATCAGATCCTGAAATTAGCAGACAAACAAATTTTCGTTTCCTGCCATACTAGAGTTGAACTAGACAACGGGGGTTGGCGTGCCAACTCCCCATGCAGTCAAAATGCCATGTGTAACCTTTGACTCTTCTAAAAGTTAACTGAAATAGCCCACTGTTGACAGGAAGCCTTACTGACGACTTAAACAGCCAATTAACACAGACTTTATATGTTATAGGTGTTATATATTATATTCTTACAATAAAGTTAGCTAGAAAAAAATATTATTAAGAAAATCATAAGGAAGAGAAAATACATTTACCATACTATATTCTATATTTATTGAAAAAATCTGCATATCAGTGGACCCATGCAATTCAAACCCATGTTAGTCAAGGGTCATCTCTACTTAATCCTTTCTGATAATACACATATTTGCTTATACAGATATTTACTTACATAAAGATTTTCCTTTTTTGAAAACCACATCAAATGTGTATCTTTGTTCCCTTAGGAACATGTATCAGGGAATCTTAATCCTGACCAAGGTTTTACCATCACTGATAACAATTTGGGCTAAAACATGCTAGATACATTAAACACAAATTATTACAACAAATTCTTATTTGTTATCTTAATATGTAAAGGATTTTGAAGGATTACTTAGATTACTTTAAGGTTCTTAGAATTTTTTAATAAAAGGCAGGTCAGAGGAGTTGACCCAATGCTTTCTTCTTTCTCTAGCAAATGAGGCAAACTCAATATTTAAAAACCTCACTAGGGACTTTAGTCAGGACCTTAGATGACACATAGCCTATGAAAGCGTGGGTAAAAAACTCTGTTATTCTATTTTCTTTTATTTACTCTTTCGCCTAAGACCTTAAGACGTACATCCCCAGATAAGTAATTGTGGTTACGTGAGGCATGTGCAGCCTTTAGGCAGTTGGAGAGTTATGTGCTGGACCTGGTTGGTGAAGCCAGCAGGGTAGTTCGTAACTGTGTGAACTCGCTAGGATCACCTCAAAACTGGGGACTCTAAAACAAATGGAACCAAATACTAACCTTTCAGTTACCATAGTGATTTCTTTTCTTTGGACCAGAAGTAATTTCTCCTTCAAGGACACACACGTCTCAATTCTTCTTTCAGGATTACCCATCCTACACAGCCTTTGGCCAAAACCAGTATGCACAGTATTACTCAACCTCCACGTACGGGGCATATATGACGTCAAATAACACGGCTGATGGCACATCGTCGTCGACCTCAACCTATCAGTTGCAGGAATCTCTCCCAGGACTGACCAGCCAACCAGGTACAGATCCTCATCCAGGTGAAATACTTTGACGTTTTGCTGGGTCTACTATATGGGGGAAAAGACATTTTGGAGACCAGGCTCAAAGTTCTCATCTAATGATGCTGATATTTCATCTGGGCCAATACTGCCATGTAAGATGAGGCTTTTCTTCCAGCGTTTCAAAAAACCCTTCTTTTAGATGTGGATGGTTAAGAGATTTTAATTTCAAGTGATCCATATATATATGGATATAAAAAGGTCAGTGGAACGTTTGCCTGACTAATCCTTTCTTTTGTAAAGATCATGACAATATGGAAAGGCTGTAGTAATATTATTTTCTTTAGGTATAACTGATAGTATTTCCTTTAAGCTTGAGAGCCTGTGTAGCTCTTTCATCTTTGTGAATCCTCATGAGCTCCGGGCAGTGAACATTTCCTACATTCCTAGGATGTGTAGGATCATGTGTAGGTAGTTTAATATCTTTCTCTGATTAGCACTTACTTAAGATCCGTTGTATTCTTCGTTGTCAGAAGCTTATCTGCAGTGCCACTGGACTTGAATTTGCTGACACAGCTGAAGTATTTCAAGCTAAAGGCAAATTTAATAAAGATTCAGTGTAATCTTATTCAAAATTCCAGCAGGACTTTTTGGAGAAGTCATCAAGATGATTCTAAAATTAAAAGGAAAGGCAAAGGAACTAGATTAGCTGAAATAATTTTGAAAAATAAGAACAAAGTTTGGTGACTGACATTGCCTGATTTCAAGACTTATTATAAAGTACAGTTATCAAAAATGTGTGGTATTGACAAAAGGATAGATACATAGAACAATGGAGTAGAATAGAAAGTCCAGAAATAGACCTGTAAGCATACACTCAAAAATGGAACTTCGACAAAGGTGTGAAATCGTTGGAGAATAAAGGGTTTTTTGTTTGTTTGTTTTTTTAATGGTACTGGAACAATTAGACATCCATATGCAAAAATAACAACAATAATAGTACAAACAAAAAACAAATCCCGAGACAGAATCTTGACTTGTAACTCACACCATATACCATACGAATAAAAACTAAAACTATAAACCTTCTAGAAGAGGACATGGTGGAAATTTTTGCAGCCTTGGGTTACATAAAGATTTCATAGCATGACATTAAAAACACAATCTATAAAAGAAAGGAAATAAGCCTTCATAAAATCAAGAACTTCTGTTCCTTGAAGGACACTGTCACAAGAAGAAAAACACAAGCCACAGATTTGGAGGAAATAGTTGGAAAACATATATCTGATAAAGGGCTTGCATCTAGAATATATAAAGTATTACCAAGATTCAATAAGAAAAATGAAGTTAAGAATTTTTATAGTCACCATTAGTATGTTCAAGCTCTTTTTTTCTGACTTCAGTTATTTGCAAGATCCAAACTTATCTTTTTTTGTCCAGTTGGACAAAAAAGTCCAGTTGGACTTATCTTTTTTTTTTTTTTGTCCAGTTGGAAGGACAAGAAGACGAAGAAACATGGTAACAACAGTATAAATTCTTTCTAAGTGGACCCGTGATTCCAAGAAGATTTAAGGCCATTTAACAATTATTTATGAGTACCTAATAGGTCGCAGGTACTGCCAATATTCCAGTAGGGAATGAGATCTCTGCATACCTTTAGCTTCCATTTGACAAACAAGACAAATCTCAAGCAAATAATTAAAACTGTATGAGTGTTGGAAAGGGAAAATGCTAGCTAATACAATAATGTTAGCAAGAAACTAATTTGAACCTAAAGAAGTAAAAATGAAGCTAACACTTCAAGTAATAGCCAAGATATGCTCAGATCATGAATTGATGAAATAATGGTATTTCTTTTTGGTTCCCTCTTCAGAATATGGTCTCTAATTGTGGCTCCAAGGAAAAACTTTCTAGTATTCTACTAGACTTTGTCTTTGGTGCTCCTACCTTTCAGTTTCTTTCTCCTTATCTTCCTTTCAGAGCCTCCCTTCCGTGACCACACAGCCCTCTTGAATTTCCAGTCCTTGTCCCCTTAAGGCTCCTGTTTAGGTTTTTCATCTAGCCCCAGCCTCTCGGAGTGGTTGTATCTTGTGCAGGGCTGAGACTAAGTAAGGCCGGGGAAGGACAGGGTACAAAACTGAGGGAGGCATTCATTCTCAAGGCCCTTAAAATTCACACCTTTTGTACCTCACTTGCCTTACCCTCATTTCAGCTTAAATCCCATGTGCTAAATCTGTCCTGATCCTCTTTGAGCCAGTAGTTACATTTCATCAAAAATATTACTTTAAGTGAAAGAATGTATGGGGTGCCTAGGTGGCTCAGTTGATTAAGGGTCAGACTCTTGGTTTTGGCTCAAATTATGATCTCAGGGTCATGGGATCAAACCCCATATTGGTCTCCCAGCTCAGCAGTAAGTCTGCTGTAGATTTTCTCCCTCTCCTGCTGCCGCTCCCCACACCATGCACATGCATGTGTGAGACCCTGTGCATGAATCTAGAAGGAGGCAAGGGTGGGAGGGAAAGGAAGGAAGGAAGGAAGGAAGAAGGGATGGATGGATGGATGGATGGAAGGGGGGAGGAGGGAGGGAGAGAGGGAGAGGGAAGGGAAAGAAGGGAAGGAAAGGTGAAGGGAAGGAAAGGAAAGGAAGGAAGGGAAAGAGAGAGAGAAAGAAGATGAGAAAGAAAGAAAGAGGAAAGAAGAAAACGTGATTTTAGAATACTTGCTTAATGGATACTACAGACACTTTAGATAAGGGGATGTCTTATCACACTGTGAAAGATTTTTTTCCGTAGTAAATGTATAGGGAAACAGGGTAGGATGACTGTATTAAAAACAAAATCACACAAGTATTTGATCACCAAGGTACTGGAGACCCGAGTAACAGGACCAGGACCAACAGACAGTATTTGAGTGCACTAGAATAGAACTACCATGAGTGAAAACCACTTGGTTTTCAAATATAATATCCATTGGATAACACTTCAAATTTGCTGTTGTGTATTTTACTCTAATTTCAGTGTGATCACAAAAGTTTCTCTTCAGGAAAGACACAGATGGGCACTTTCCATTAATTAAAGAATAATAAATATTCAGAATAGCTATTTTGCTTACATTAAAAATATTAAATGCAGGCATGTAGGTATTCTGAATGTATGACTTTGGATGTGACATATCCATGTGTAACATCCTCATAGTACTATTAGAATGCAATTTTTTTTAGCTTTCCATTGATTGCTAATGCTAACAAATAGAGTTTTATAAAATTTTCGGGTCTTATCAGACTTTCTGTTGAATTTAAAGAAGAAGTCATTTTTACTTGTAACTGTATTATTCTCTTAACCAAAATTATAATAGTAACATATCTGGATTTTTAGGGAATCCTGTGACCCCAGCTCTTCAGGCAAGGTAGTTTTAAGTTTGATTTTGTTTTTCTAGATCTGGCATGTATCCAAATCAACCAGTTTATAACTGTGGGATTTTTCTTTGTTATTGATGAATTTTGAGGTACTTAGTTCAAGGGTATGAAAGGTATTTCCCATTGACCAGCTCTGTCTTTTGGACTGAACACAGAGACCTAACAATTAAATTCATAGTTCTTCATAAATCATTAACTGTTCACAGCTCTCATTTTTAAAATAGAAACATACTTTATGTTCTCTAAGAGACAGCTGGTGGTTCTTCTGACATAGACTTAGAAATTAAGTTGCATCTAAATAGCCAAAGCTTAGAAGGTATACTTATTCATTACTGTACTAATTAAAGGAGAATTATTCAATCACATATAATGTTGGCCCAAGAAAAGCCTAGGGCAATTGGTAATGACTGACGTTATTTGGAAATTGCAAATAGCATTCAGTTCTTGACTTTACCTTATTAGGCAGTTCGACAATGTATTTAAAGAAACATTAGCATACTGATTAAGAACAGATATTTGAGTTAATATTACCTTTATAAAGATCTCTTTTTGCCTTTAACAAAGATTATCTCAGGCATATTATATTTTTTATTTGCATTGAAAAAGTATGATGAACATTACAAATTTTTGTAGCTCCCGCTCTTTCAGTATTTTAAACATCTTGAACATGAAAAATAATCAGTAATTTGTAACAGTATCATCCTCTACTCTGAGACCTTAGCAAGCATTACAATACATTAGCTAATTAAACTTTACAGGTACTTCAGAAATGTAAAGGATATAATAAGATCACTTTACTCTTTGAAAAGAAACTGGTTTCTTTGGCAGAACTCAGTAGAATTTCCATAGCTTCATGGCATTTCACACAAGGACAGGAAGGCAGGCAAAGTGCTCCTTCATTTAAGTGAAGCTAACAAGGGGATTTAGATAGAAAGGACTGACCACATTTAACTTCTCTGCCAATTTACTTTCCCCCTACCTGCAGCATTAATGTACCCTAGTGCCATTACCTGAGTGAAATTTGGCAGAGACACTGGAATTAACAGCTTTCTCTTAAAAAAAAAAAAAAAAAAAAAGTGTCAACAAATTTTTAATGACCAGCTGAGCTCAAGTTCCTGGTTTTGCCCTTTATCAGAAGAAAGGATAGCACCATCCAAAGATACAGAGGTCAGAGCTGTTCGCCTGGGTGGTTGCTCTAGGGACCCAGATGTCACGCGTGCACTCATCAGGACCTACTCTTGTACTGTGGAGATTTTTTGATGAATTCATTGGCCCTCACAAAATTATAAGAGGTCTGTATACTCTTTTGATGGGTAGAAACAGATTTAAGTTTGACCTCTTTGTAACCTGGAAACCTGGAGGATCTGTTGCTCTTTGGGAGAGAAAGGATAACCTAGTGGTTAAAGCAGGAATTTTGGAATCATACCAGCATTCTGCATACAAGCTATTTCATCTTGGTAAGTTAATTTAAAATCTCATGCGCCTCTGGTTCTCCCATTATTAAAAGAGGATAATGAAGGACCAGATTCACTGGGTTAAAGTAAAGTTTAAGTCAGACATATATATGTAAAGAATGTTTTACAATAAAGAGCTCTGACAAATCAATAAGAAAAAGATAACGATCTTTTTTTTTTTTTTTTTTTTTTTGAGAGGAGAGAGAGAGAGAGAGGGATTGAGAGAACCGGTGGGAGGAGGGGCAGAGGAAGAAGCAGATTCCCAGACAAGCAAGGAGTCCGATGCAGGACTCTTATCACAGAATCCTGGGATTTTACCTGAGATGGAGGCAGAAGCTTAACCAACTGAGCCACCTAGGGACCAGACCTTTTTTTTTTTTTTTTTAAGATTTTATTTATTTATTTGACAGAGAGAAATCAGAAGTAGGCAGAGAGGCAGACAGAGAGAAGGGGGAAGCAGACTCCCTGCTGAGCAGAGAGTCCGATGCGGGGCTCCATCCCAGGACCCTGAGATCATGACCTGAGCCGAAGGCAGAGACTTAAACCACTGAGCCACCCAGGCGCCCCAGACCATTTTTTTTTTTAATGGGCAAAAGATTTAAACAGTTATGTCATAAAGATACCAAATGGGCAAAAAAAGAAAAAAAGTGTTTTACATCATTATTCAACAAGAAGATGCTAATTAAAACTACAGTGGGACCAACATAGCCCCACAATAGATCATAAAAGGCTAGCAAAGCCAAGTATTGGCAAGGATGCGGAGCAACTAGAAATCTCATTGCTAGTCAGAGAGTGAATTAGTACAACCACACTAGAAAAAGGTGGTCAGTGTCTACTGAAGATGAATATACACCTTCCTCTGACCCAGCAGTCCCACTGCTAAAAATCTACCCTGGTGGAATAGGAGCTTATGTCCACAAGAGCTGAACAAGCATGTTTATAGCAGCTTTATTTGTAATTGCCTAAAACTACAAATAACCTAATGTTCATTCACAAAAGTCAAATAAAGCATAGTATACATATTTAAGGAAGTTCTAGCCACATGAAGGAAAAAGCAAACAACTGCTCCAGGTTACAAAATGCAAGAATCTCACAGACATGAGGAGACTCAGAATGAATGAATGGAGCCAAACACATATTTCAGTAAATTTTTTAAGAAAGAAGGCAGCGCGTAACACATACTAAGGATAAATGTGGAGCTACTCTTCATCATTTTCTTAAAATGATATGCCTTTACTTTCATCAAAACATGTGGGTCCATATTTTGTCCAGATTCTTAGAGCCCTTTTAAGATCCTTCTGTAACTTGGCAAAAATCAGTGATATCAAATCCTACTTTTATTGAAACGCGGACACTGCCTATGACCAGCCTTTTCCCTTCTGCCTCCTCCTGCTCTTCAGCAGCCGGCTCTCCAGCTCATTTAATAGCTGAGTTGTTCTGCCAAACTCCTTCTTTCTGGATCCAGTTGACAATCAGCCACCCATAACTGATCACAACGGCTTTGCAATTTTGCAAGTTTTCAACCTTTCAGCTCTTGCATTTTTGCAAGAGCAAAGGTGTCTCATGATAGTTAACAGCTGAAAATCGATCTATCATGAGTAGAAAGACAAGTTTTTGAGGGAGGTCATCCAAAAAATTATAAGCTTACTTAATAAATGGGGCTTAATTTGAATCAGCATTTTTATCAGAACAAGAACATTTGACTTGGAGGGCATAGTAACCTTATGAAAATTCTGTTTTAAAAAATTACTAAAAATAGAAAAATTTTTATGTGATTTTTTTTAAGTTTGCATGTATTTAAATACCTAAAGCTTTCATTTAATACTTGTGCGAGCTGAAACACAATTTACTCTAAGATGGGACAATCAATATTCAACTGAAAACTATGGAGCCTTTATTACATTGTCTACGCTGACACAGTCGCTAACAGAGACCTATCATAGGAACAGCGCTAACAATGTCTTAAGAGCAAATAATACTTGAAGCACAGACACGTGGTTTCTTTTGGTGCTGTCCTGACATGCACAGTGTTTCCCAAAGAAAATGTTATAACCATTGGAAATAATTACAAGTGAGCTATGTAAAAGTGACTGTTTATTTAGAACATCTCGGAAGAAATACGACCTAGATACTGTCTAGCCTGTTCAGATTTGTTTATTTAGATTAATAACTACTTGGCTGTCCTCATAATTATTTTTCCTTAATTTTATGACAAAGCATAATCATTATAACTTCTTTAGATTTAAGTGTAGTAATTTAAATTTAATTTTAAATGTAGTTTACCCTCAGACTCTCCTAGAAATGTTTACATATATAATTCACATCAAATTAAACATAAATCATTTTTACCTCAGTAATTCAGAAAGCAGCTGCTCTTGCCCATGCTTTCATATACAAAGAGAGAGATTCAGAGAGATTGAGTGAAATGCTTCAAGTCCTACAGTGTGTCTGACCCTTGTTACTTGTGAGGACCTCACTGTCATTTTGGTTTATGCAAACCCACTCCCACAGATTTGCCACAGCTCAGTACACTTTCCTTATAAGGTACCCTACCCCCAGTTGTAGACATGTCAGACATTCAGGTACCTAGGGGACATGCAGAGGTCAGTTAGATGCAAAGTCTGAAACTTCTGTAGGATGTGGCCTCATTGGAGGTATGGGTTTATGTATGGGTCATCTCAGAGAAGGTGATTAACCCATGAGAGGGTTAGATCGTCCAGATGGTGTGGAATAAGGAAGACAGTGACGGAAGGTTGGAACTCTTAAATACTAGCATACAAGGAATGGGAGGAGGAAAAGGAGTGCATGTCTCCTAGACAGAGAAGGCCCGGTGAGAGAAATTCCAGAGCTAGGAGACCACAAGCCAAATAATGGCTCTAAGGATGTGGTGTTTAAGAGGATCAAACACAGCTCAGGCATCCAGGATAAGGATAAGGACTGCATCTGTTTATTACATCTGTTGGTTAGGTGGTTAACAGGACTCTGAGTAAGAGTAGTTTTATTAGGGTTTTGGTGAAGCAATCATGACAAATCAGATGTCCGCAAGTGGAGACACATGGGCTATCCACTGCTGTCGTCCTTGGCCACGAGTGGCCGTCGAGCACCTGTAGCGGGGCTAGTATAGTTGGAGGTCTGCTGTAAGTGTAAAATACACACAGGAGATCAAAGACTTAGAATGAAAAGGAGATTATGTAAAACATGTTGTTGACAATTTTCATGTTGGTCACATGCTGAAATGATAATATTGTGTTTATATTGGCTCATTTAGTATATACAAATAAAACTAATTCTACATGTTTCTTTACATTTTTTATTGTGGCTTCTAGAAAATTTTAAATTATATATGTGGTTATATTTGTGGCTCACATCGTATTTCTTTTGGACAACCCTGTCATGTAATGTACTATTCTTTTAAGGAGTATCCCTTAAAAAAGAGAAGATAGCAAGCAGATAACTTCTAAGTGAAAATGCAAGGTCAAGGGAAGGACTTTTAAACTTGTTTGTGGCCCACAGAAAAGCAAAAGGTGGGAAGAAAGTTAAGAAAGGGTTTAACTAATGGAGCACAATTCCCTTAGAGGGTGAGGTTGGGAGTCAAGTTTATAGGTGGAGGGATGGGATTGATCCGGAAGAAGATATCCCCTCCTTTGAGCTCTGACATAAAAAGAGGGGAACAGAGCTAAATCTGGATAGATATATAGGGGACAGTAGAGACAAGGAAGGTGAAGACACATAGAGTATAAAACACATTCAGGTTTAATAGATCATGTAGATTGAAACTATGGGGGATTCGTGTGACCTGCAAAATTTTTAATTGAATGGGGATTTTGTGTATTTGGGATGATAAATCTTTTTTGTCAGGAGGAGCTTTCTATTATATAAAGATTCGTTAAGATAATTCATAACAAAGACCTGATCTAAAAATGAAGAGCTTTTCTTGACACAAGTCATGTTGTTTCTAGGAGAGTTTGATACCGTGCAGAGCCCTTCCACACCTATCAAAGATCTTGATGAGAGAACGTGCAGGAGTTCTGGGTCAAAATCGCGAGGAAGAGGCCGGAAAAACAATCCCTCCCCGCCTCCTGACAGTGACCTGGAGGTATGCTGACTTATCCATAAGGAGTGGAATCTGATGTTTTATTTTACTGAATGATATTCTACACCTTATGGTTCCATAAGGTTTCAACCTTAAAAAAAAGAAGGAAGTATCATGAAATGAGTGGATCTCATCATGTAGGGATTTCATAACTCTAAAATTTGAGATTTCATCCATTGTAATGGCAAAATTAAAAACTTAAAAACGATGGAACTTTATAAATTCCAGACCTGAGATAATTGCATCTTTTGGTCCTAATTGACACAAACAGAAATTTACAAAATAAAGTCACTGTTAGTGGGATAATCATCTGAGAGACACTCTGTTTAGTAGTATTAAGGTAATGAAGAATGTTTATATGGTTGAATAAAATTTGGGGGGGTCAATAAAATTTGAAAAAAAGGTGAAATTAATCTGTATGGAAAAGAAAAGTTGTCTTCTGAAAAATGGGAAAAATTCCGATCATTTGGTAACATGATAACATTTTTATCTCTATAAAAACTTCTATGCATCCTATTCCTCTGGTTGAAAGCTCTTTTGAGATATGTTCATGCCAAGCAGGTTGATTTTTATTCTAAAACATCAGGGAAACTATCTTAACCATACTATGTTACTTCTTACACAACTGCATCCTTCATTAAGAAAAATACCCAAATTTCCAGACTTGATAAAATCAAATGATAGTCATTGTGCCTCTTTGAAAAACATCACTCCTTTCACCTGAAGGACAGTAGCACATTCCAGTGCCTTCAGGAACCCAGAAGGTGACAGAAATGAGTGAACAGGGCCAGGGAGCCAACAGAAGAATGTGGGGAGCAGGGAGGATTGGCCCAGTTGAAGAGGGCCCACAAATCACTGCCACGTGGAATGTCAGTCAGCATCGTTGTATCTTCCTGTTTCCCTGCTGTGCTCAGAACCCTGATGTTTGTGTGAAATCTTCTAATCCTGAAATGTTGATCAATAATTTGAAATCTTTCTAAACACTGTGCAAGCTAAACAACCCCTCTGAAGGCCTAATCTAACCCAAAGGTCTACAGTTTGCAATTTCTGTCTGGGGATCGCTCAATGATTTTTTAAAATATTTTTAAAAATATTTTTACACAAATTGCAAAACCTCATGAATCCATGAGGTGAGAGATTTTAAAATAAGATTTCAAGCACACTTATATCCTAAGTTCACGTGTGTCTTTTGGGGTATTAACTGCAAGTAAATATTTGGATGAATTCATTCAAATTAGGACATCTGATATTTAAGCTTATTATGACTTTTTTTTAAAATCACTCTTCCCCCTCTGGTTTTATCACAGTGACATCTGGGAAACTTGGAAAAAAATTAATGGAGTAGAGTAGTTTTCTGTAAAATGGTATTGAGATGATGCCCAACGACAAAGTCAGATGTTTTCAACTAAGAGATTTCTGTTTCCTTAGAACTTGATAATTCTTTGATACTTGTATTTTTCTTCAGCGTGTGTTTGTCTGGGACTTGGATGAAACCATCATTGTTTTCCACTCACTGCTCACAGGGTCTTATGCCCAGAAGTATGGCAAGGTAAGAAGATCAAGACATTTTACCCCAAGGCACCTTGTTGGAATTTTATTTTGTTCAAAAATCCAGAGCAATTTCAAGTCATGATCTCAGGGTCAAGAGATTAAGCCCTGTGTTGGGCTCTGCGCTCAGCAAGGAGTCTGCTTGAAATTCTCTCTCTCCTGCTGCCCCTCCCCCAGAGCACACTCTCATGTGCTCTCTCTCTCTCTCTCTCTCTCTCAAATAAATAAATCTTTAAAAAAAAAATCCAGAGCAATTTAAATACATTTAGGTGTTTTTATCGTAGGCTGTCAAATCTGTTCGTAATTAATTTTCAGTGGCTCATTGTTCTTTAATGAGAACCGGCAAATTTTACAAAAATAATTCGACATTGAATTCTTTTTTCAGAATGCCTTTGAATTTTCTGCCTCAAAAGCAAGGTTATTACTATGACATAATCACTTTAGAAAAAATTATTTTGTAAATTAAAATGGACTTGCAACATTATAAAATCATATATTATCCTCTAATAAGGAAATTTTAAGAAATTGTTTGAAATCACTTATTGCACCAAATGTTGCTATTGAATGTCAGTTGAAATAAGGAAATAATCTTTTGTCTGAGAGATCCTTTGGATTTATGAAACTAAGTATTTTTTTTATATATAACTTTGAATAAGCATTTGAACAGCAAGTGGGGATAACATCCCCGCACACACACAAATTCAGAGACCGATGGTCTGGTGACTCCTCTTCCTTTCTTTCTTGCCATCCTTTTTGTGGTTAGCTAGCTTCTTATGACTGTGTTGGTGTACACTGTGTAAGTGCTAGTACAAAGATCAGGAAACTCCCTGTCAGGGAAAGCACTTGTCAGGTCCGCAGTGGTTTAGGACATTCCTGTCTGAATCTTTGACTCTGTAGGATTCATAATCTGACTAGAGTCAACTCAGAATATGTTTGGTCTGCCTTCAATTACCGTATTCAGAGTTACATCTGACTTGGCTCCTTTACATATTACACTTATAGAAGTGCCTTCCCTGCGTTTTTATAGTGTTTCATTATTTACGAGGGTCTCATGACAGCCCAGCATGCCATGTTTAGCAGTTTTGTTAAGTTTTGTCTTCTAGACCAGAAATGATGAGTTACACTCAAGTATTTCCTCCTTGAAATATTCATGGGATGTGCTTTTGGTGAATCTGCCCTGTATTTGATTTTTGGTTTAAGTAATATACGTAACTAAACAAATATGAAAGGTAACAGTTTTGCTTAACAGCTATTTAGGGGCGCCTGGGTGGTTCAGTGGGTTAAAGCCTCTGCCCTCAGCTCAGGTTATGATCCCAGAGTCCTGGGATCGAGCCCTGCATCAGGCTCTCTGCTTAGCAGGGAGCCTGCTTCCCCCCTCTCTCTCTGCCTGCTGTTCTGCCTACTTGTGATCTCTGTCTATTAAATAAATAAATACAATCTTTAAAAAAAAACCACACACAAAAAACAGCTATTTAGAAAAAATGAGCCTTAGCCCCTTTATGACAGTCATTATCATTTAAGACCACAGTCTCCAAAGTAGGATATATGAATATGTGCAGATACACAAGACGCTCCACAGAGATAAGGAAAAAAGATAATGTGTATACACACGTGTGCACACACACACATATACACACACATTTTGTCCTACAATTTGTATTTTTTATGTTTTATAATGCACTTACTTTACAAATGCATGCATATTATTATAATTTAAAGAATATGCATATAACATATAAATTAAGTAACCATACAAAGATTTGGGGTGCACATTCAAAATTCAATGACTGGTAGAGTATACAGTCTAAAAAATTTCCAGATAACAATCTAAAGCATTTCTTCTGGAATAGTTTTAGCTGATGAGGAATACACAATAAATCCTGCTTGAGCTGACCGCAGTATTTTTATACAGCTAAGTTTCATATTACTTCACTATTTAAGATAATCTAACTTGAACATATGAATCGAAATGAAGTTCCCTTCAAAATAGGCTCCGTCAGAGGCTATCCCTAAATATCCATGTAGTTTCCATTGTGTCAGATCAGTGGTGGAAGTCATCTTTTGGAATTACCTTTAGATTTTTGGAGTGTTTCCTCACTTCAGAACTTCATCCTTTTGTGGTGGTTTTAATTGTTAGAAATAGTAAGGTCATTTGAACCCAAGGTGATAAATAAGGAGCATGGTTGTCATATATATATATATATATTTTTTTTTTTTCTTTTTGGCAAAAATACCATAAAGTTGCACCCTTCCCAGAACTGAGCATAGACCTCCTTTTGCGATAACAAGGGGCACCAGTAAAGAGTTAAGGAGTCCGGGGTGGGTGGGTGGTGAACTATAAAAAAACCTGAATAACAAGTCACCTTTCTTGAGTGACTCAGACTGGTTCCAAGAGTGATTTAATAGCAAAGTTCTCATGCTTCCCTCAGCAGTGATGTATCATCAAAAGGGACCTGTCACCTCCCCAAGATGGCCACCTGGACATGCAGCATTCATTTCACGGACAAGTCCCATTCTCTTAAAGTACTGTCAGAAAGCTTTCTTGGAATACAAAAGAGACATTGTCAATGCCTAAAACAGGAGAGCTTATCAAAAGAGTGGGGCAAAGTGAGGGGAAGGAGGGAAGTAATGCTGCTGAGTGCCCGCAGCGTGCCAGGCGTGAAGTGTCGCAACGGTTGTAAGACAGGATTTTCTCCCCATCTCTAGCGGAGAAAACATACTCAGGGAATAAAATGTGTGCAGTCATCAGGCTAGTCCATGGCACAGATGAGTCATGGGGCCTTGGACTCTTTGACCCCAGAGCCCATCTCGTCTCTGCTACAGCGCATCACAGCGCAGACCTTCAACGCGCCATGAGCGCAGTATATGACTTAGCCTAGAAAGAGTAAAGACAGGCAGTGAGGAACTGTGTAGGCCATTATGGGAGTCCTCTGTAGGCTGAAAGGATTTGAATGATCTTCTCTCAGAAGACTGGAATACTTTTTCATCAAGAGATAAACCTTGTGAAATGGATTGTGGCAGACAGATGTCACTGCCTCATGGCGGTCTAGCACAGGAACAGAACCAGGGGCACTTTTGATAGTCTGGGGAAGGTAAACTGACATCTGTAGAACACCTGCTGGGTGGTAGATGGAGCCGGTGTTTGGCTTTTCACAAGCAGTAGGGATGATGATTAAGGACAAGAAGCTTTCAGTTAAAAAAACTTCACTTTGAAACCCCAGCCGCTGAGCCAGTGCTTGCCACTCTGTGACCTCAAGCAAAGTCCTTAATCGCTGGGCTTCAATTTCTGTAAAATGGAAATAATAGTACCTGTAGTGAATAAGAATGAAAGGGATAACATGTCTAAAGGGCTTTTCAGAACAGTTGGCATGAATTAACATTCAAAAAACTTTCACAAATGTCATCCCCCTTAATTCTCTTAATTACTCTGCTGTAACTTCTTGTGATCCAAGTTCAGTGGATGCAGAAACCCAGGGTTATGAGAAGCTGAGAAACGTGACCAAGGTCACAAAAATGCTAAATGCTGGTACATTTGGCCCGTCTCATAACAATTCCTTGTACTTTATACGATTCTACAGGAGGGAAGCCTGTTGGAATACACCATAATGAATAATGTTTTACTTGGGGCAGTTTAAGGAAATTAAAGTAAAAATTTATTTAGGCTCCATTTTTTTCTAATCAGAATGAAAACACCCTTCTTGAAATCCATGAAAAACAACTAAGATGACTTTATTTATTGAATTATTACCTACATTTTTCTAAAAGTCGTTTGATTCTTGACATGTTTCTTAATATCCAAAAGGAAGTTGGCATAGTCCTCTCTCCAGTAAGACATTACTATTTGGCATATTGGGAAAGAGCTAAATAAGAGATGCTATGTCCCCATCTTTTGAAGCTGGAGACCACATGCAGCTCAGAGGTCATTCAGTGGGGCCAAAAGGGCATTGGGCAGCTTCCACTTGACCACAAACCACAAGTAAAAACGGTGAAACTAGAGCTCTGTAGACAGACTATATTCATCTAGCAACTGTTTTTTAATGCAAGACCCGCTTCTTGCTCTGATGGAGCTTACAAGCAAACAAAATCAGAGCAGATAGTCGTAACCCCTGTGAAGACAGTGAAACTGCGTCCTGTAGAGCATCACAGGGGACTGAGCGTGGAGGTGACATTGATACTGAGACCTGGATTACAGAAGGAGCTAGCCGTGCTGATGTCGGGGGAAGGGGAGAACATGGAGGACTATTCTGGGCAGAGGGCACAGGAGGGCCCTGGAACAGGAACAGCCTTCCAGTGTTCCAGGAATATAAAGGAGTAGTGTCTCTGGAAGCTTGTAAACAAGGGAGAGAATAATTCAGGGTAAGAATGGAGTGGTGAGTGGGGGGCCACATCCACTAGGGTATCTCCCATAAGGCACTTGGGGTTTATTCAAGCTGCAGTGTGTTGGAGGGGTTTTGGCTGAGTAGGGACATGATGGTTTATAATTGGGTGCTCTGTGGAGACTCGCAGGCTGCTATGCAGTAAGGAAGAAGTGGTAGCAGTTTAGACCGGAACAGTGTTTCTCGAACTCCCACGTGAGTCACCATAACCTGCAGGGCTTATGAAACACAGATGCTGCGTCCCAACCCCATAGTTTCAAATTCTGTAGGTCTGGGTGGGGCCTGAGATTTTGCATTTGGAATAAACCCTCAATAAAGCTGATGAACCATGCTTTAAGAACCACTAGAATAGAGTAGTTCCCCAACATTTTCTTCTTGAAAAAGTGAGTTCTGGAACATGTTAATTGATAGTCTTTGTGGAAAGGCTCATGGCCAAAGAGACTTAGAGACTACTTATATTTTATGGCCATTCAGTGCACATTATCATGTTAGAGGTCTTGAGAGGTTTTAACAGCTGAGAATCCTTTGTAACCATGTTTAATTCCTCAGTTCCTTAGTGTCTTCAGTAATGACCTTGAGGACTGCTTGAAGTGAGGTCATTCTGGTGTCTAGATGACAACTTAGA